CTATCTATATCTCATGCCTAGGGTGAGATTTCCTGGGTGGTGTGACACAAGGTCAGTTTTATAGGATGAGAAGGAGTTAGCCAGGCAAAAGAGTTGAGATGGGGGTGAGAATAGGAAGGAGGACCCTTTAGAGAAAGAAGATAGAGTCTCTAAACATTGCCAAGTATACCCAGGGGACAAAATCACTCCCAGTTGAGAACCACTGTTTTGGAGTCATAGTGTCCTGGGCATGCCTGGACATCTCCAAAATAAAGGACAAACTATTGCATCTTGTACCTCCCACCACTAAGAAGGAAGTACTGTGCCTTGTAGGTCACTGGATTCTGGGTGGCATCAAAAATTGCTGGCTTTGTACTGTTGCTATTGTTACTATCATTGCCAAGTTAATAGTCTAGGTTGACTCTTGTACCTATCTACAACAGAAGACCTGTCACCCAAGAACATTAGTCTGCCCAATGTCCCTTCCTTACCTAACTCATTAATCCTACTATTTCTCTGGTCCTGACATTCATCTTCTTCCAACCCCTACCAATTTCTTAGTTCAGCTAGAGACAACAGCCAGCCTAAGCTGAATCATTAGTGACAATGTTTCTAGCTCTTATGTTGTATATCTATCGTTAAAAATGCAGGAGCAAAAATAATGTGGCAGGTCTCCTTGTATTAGCTATCAGAAGCAGTACAGAGCAGGAAAATTTGGAAGATTCCTTAATTCAACATTCATTCATTCATTCATTCATTCAACAATGTAGTACTGCCAGGTACCACAGGTACCTGGCCTCTTCTCATGCCTCTCTTCCCCTCTTACTCCACTCTGGACACACTAGCCTTCAGGGAAGCCTTAGTTTTGCTTTTACAGCCTTTCAACTGCATTAGTCTTACCCAGATTATCTATCTTCTTAGAAAAGTCAATTATTATGAATTTAAAGCACATCTACGAGAGGCTTCAGAGCAATACCTAGATTAATATGTTTAAATAACGGGACTTTAGCTTTGCCAAGTTGAGACATTAGAAGACCAGTGCAGCATTCCAGGCATCTAACGCTTCTGTGTCACAGTACCCTTAGCTGTCTGGGACACTTACTCAGACTTGACTTCTATGTGCTCTGAATTTCACTATTTCATCATTATGAATCAGACAGCTCTCAGCTGACTTTCAACTAGAAAAAGAAGCTAGTTAATTAACTCACTAAGAAGTTAATACACTGCTCTTCTGTTCTAGTTAGGCCTGGTATAGCTGAAAGGAAATCAACCCAAGCTAGTTCAAGAAAAGCAGTATTATTTCAGGAATGGACCTTTTGAAGCTCAGAACTGGAGGTGGTTTCTGAATTCAAGGTAGCTGTGGGGACTTTAGCAGGAATTCATGATTCTTCATTCTTGTTATGTCATCAAACTGATATTTTCTTCTGATTCTATATGTTTCAAGAGCAACTGGCAAGTTTTCATACTTCCAGTTCAAATTTCCAAGAGAAGGAATCTTGGTTTAGCCAATAACTTCTGTTGTCCATAGGCAGGGTGTCCTGTATTCCAGGCCAGATTCTAGGTAGCTGGCCAGGTGCCTATCAGGAGAACAACCCCGTGCTGTTTCCCTGAGCATAGAATTTGGTCAGTTAAGTTGAAGCTAGAAGGGGAAGTCAGGCATGGCAGATACATTGACTGATACTCAGAATAGCATCTCAGGGTTATCTTATTTAACTGAGCAATGCCTTATATTTTCAGAAATAAAACTCTATAGTTTTGGAACTTTAGATATAACTGAGGGGCAGATGGAAATAGATTTTTGGCCTGGGGTAGGTAGAGTCTGATATCCTTTTGATATAGGAGGCTTTGGTAAAACTCGATACTATGGATCAAGATTGTGGGCCATTTATCCCGTGACGTTCCTTTTACCTCAGAAAAGATGGGCTTGATAAACTCTCACTGGTTTGCCTATAGCATGAAATTTCGAGGCCTTTATTGTTTCATTCCCAAAGGAAATTTGTAAGTTATAGGTAACATTTAACAATCTGAAAAATTATATTTTGTCTAGAAAAATTATGCTTGCTATTTTGCAATATTCTTGTGTGTATTTTGTACATCTGTGTATATGTATGTATATGTATGTATGTATATATTTTTTTCTTTTTACCCATTTCCCCACCCCCTCCCCTTTGGCAACCATCAGCTTGTTCTCTGTATCTCTGGGTCTGTTTCTGTTTTGTTTTGCTTATTAATTTGTTTTGTTTTTTTAGATTCCACATATAAGTGAAATCATACAATAGTTGTCTTTCTCTCACTTAGCATAATATCCTCTAGGTTGATCCATGTTGTCGCAAATGGCAAGATTTCATTCTTTTTTATTGTTGAGTAATATCCATATCCATCTATTGATGAATACCTAGGTTACTTCCATATCTTGGTTATTGTAATGCTGCAGTGAACATAGTGGTGCATATATCTCTTGGAATTTGTGGTTTCCTCCCCTCTTTGGGTAAATACCTAGAAGTGGTATTGTTGAGTTGTATGGCAGGTCTATTTTAAATTTTTTGAGGAATCTCCATACTGTTTTACATAGTGGCTGTACCAATTACAATCAAACTCTTGTACCAAAGCATACAAGAGTTCCCTTTTCTCCACATCCTCACCACCACTTGTTATTTTTTTAAATTTTTTATTTTATAAGCAGGAGGCAGTGTTTATTGATGCCGGCACTGGCTCAGCGGATTCTTATCCAAAGGCTGAGCCTGTTGGTTTTTTTGATGATAGCCATTCTCACTGGTGTGAGGTGCTATCTCATTGTGATTTTTGATTTGCATTTCCCTGATGATTAGTGATGTTGAGCATCTTTTTATATGTCTGTATGTTCTTTTTGGAGAAATGTCTGTTTAGGTCCTCTGCTCATTTTTTAATTGGATTTTTTTGGGGGGTGTTAATTTGTATGAGTTCCTTATACATTTTGGATATTAAACCCTTATCAGATATAGCATTTGTGAATATCTTCTACCATTCAGTAGGTTGTTTTTTTCATTTCGTTTCTTTTGTTGTGTAAAATGCAATATTTTTTTTGAGACTAGGAAAAGCCAATCTCCAAGTGCCCATGATAAAAAAAAAAGGAGTGGATTTTCCTTTTAATTGGATGTCATTACTGTCAGTTGTCTAGTTTATAAAAGCGGGGGCAGATCACCCCTTCTGACTTTTGACACGAAAACCCTCACCAGAAAAGGGTAGAATGCCTACTTTAAGTACTATCTGATTATTATTTATTGATATTGAAAATGGAATGTGAAAGTACTTATTGAAAAACCCTGTTTTTTCTTACTGTCTGAATACCCACATCGCTGTTTACTAAAGACAAATTTGTTTTAGAAGAAGACTAAGAGAAGGAAGTCTCCCTTGATCTTAGGCAAAGTGTCACATATCACTATCCCATATATGTCCTTGACCTACAAAAGAAACTTAATATCTACGCACCTAGAGAAATATGCACATAATATGAAGCGTCCAGCCAGTGCAGCTTGTATCTTGGAAAGACAAAGGACATGTGATACTCACTTTGCAGATGATTTTCATTTCTCTAATATATTTTTTCCTCTTTATAAAAACAATACATGCTTATAGCAGAGTATATGGAAAATACTAAAAATTATAAAGAAACATTGAATTACATCATTCATAAACTTCCACTATTAATATTTTGGTGAATTTCATTTGCATATATTTATACATTACTGTGATCACCTGGTATATATGAATTTATCTTTTTTTAAAACTGAGCCAAGAAATACAATGTCCTTGTGATTTTTTTGTCAACATGGATGAATTTGTTGATTGTTGATGGATAACACTTTTCTCTAATTCTTCATTTCTCATTTTTATTTAAAAATATGCTATTTTGTATACATAAAAATATATATAATCTATGTGTAGGTTATAAACTAAACCGTAGAAGAAATATCTATGGACTTTTTGCTAATCCAAGAACCAGAATTTATCAGTAATTTGTGTAATCTACTGTTCTCTTACCTCCTTCCTCCCCAAATAGTTTAAACCTATATTAAAACAATTAAACAATTGAAAATTTTAACTCATCAAATTGTTTTTCATTGATGCTAATAAAAATCCCATTTTTTTAGTTATGAAAGTCTCTAAATGTGTGTTGCTAGTCTATCACACAGAGCAGTAAACTTTTCTTTGTGCTGGCTGGAACCTTGATCCCTACCTGTTATCATGGGCTACTTCCTCTTTCAAATCCCTTTCTGAAAGTTTTTGTTCTTTTTTTACTTCAAAGTCCAAGGCCAGAATGACAGTACAAGGTCATGCTGGTATAATTGATGCAGAGAAAAAAAAAGACCTACGTATTCTGATTTTTTAAAGCTTCTTGTTTTAGGAATGACATTTAGGATTGAGAGGCATTTCATCAGTGTTAATGTTGACGATCAGTGATTTTCTAAGAACCTATAAAGTTAAAAGGCTTTAAAAGAATGACAAAGTTCTTGCTGTGTACTCAGAAACTGTGTGGCCTTGCACAATTTATATATATCCCCGCAGTTTTTCTCTCATTTTAAAATGGGATTAGAAACAATTTGGCCACTTTACTGGGCTATTTGTGAGGTTCAATAGTGTTTGGGAACATACGTTGTAAACGAAACTCCTACCCAAATGGTAAATAATTAAAGAAAAATTGACCTTGAATTACAGCGCAAAGGAAGAGACTATTACGAGTGTTTCCATAACTAAGCACTTCAACAGCTAAGACAGATGCTAAAGTGAGCTTTTGTCTGGTCCCCAGACGCCTTCCGATGAATTTGGAGAAAGGAGATTGAAAATCTGAGGTTTTTTCTAGCCCTGAAGTCGTTGTTTTTCACAGTGTCCGTTCTTAACTGTCCTCGTGGAATCTACTTTCCTCCAGGCTAAGTTACTCACGTATGGCTGATCCAGTACTTTTCTGGATCACGACGAAAACCGCCTCCGGGCCCACTCCTGGCACCGCCCCCACCCACAATACACTTCTCTGTTCCATCTAGGTGGCTACTCTGTCACGTGTCACTCGACGGAGCGCGCTTCCGCTTGGCGCATGCGCATAGGGCAGCGCAAGCTATTTTTCTCCGTGGCAGCGGCGGCGAGCGGAAGTTCTAGGGAGCGCTACTTCCGTCTGTGTGTTCGAGTGGACAAAATGGCGAAGATTGCCAAGACTCACGAAGGTAAGCTGCCTTCCCCTAGTTGTGTGTCCGCTCTGCTGCCTAGCCTGCTAAAATTTCATCTTCTTAGGCTTCTGCCTTTTCCTGTAGTTTCTTCTGTGGGGACTGTATCCGCGCTTCGGGGCCCGGTTCGTCCCCTCCGCGCCAGCGGCGCAGGCCACTGCCCCACGTAATGGCGTCTTACTCTTACACCCCCGAGAGGTGCTTTGTTCCGTGTTTGGGTGCTGCTGTTTCAGGGTTGCTTCGCTTCTTTGGCCAGAGGGCCTTGTTTAGACGGCTCAATAAGGATTTAGGACTAGGGATCAGGAAAATGGGGAAGGAAGCAAAGTCTCGCTTGTCTTTCCTGCGAACTGTCGTCGGCATAGTTTGTGCATAGGAGAGTCAGAAAAACACTGAAATCCGGCCGCTGCTTTTCGGGTAGCCCCAAGTCGAGTTAGTCACACCCGAGGCTCATTACTCTTAACCTTGGCTAATCTGTGTGTCTTCAGGCGTCTGAGATGCTTTTATTTTGTACGAAATGATTTGGAAATAAAATCTGGTATTTTTTTTCTGCCTTGATTACTTTTAGTATCTTTTTCTTTGGAGACCGAATATTGATGGAAGAGAGAAAGTCATATTTTATTAATGGACAAAATTTCGAAGTAGTTGATGGTTTTATGGAATAGGGAGTATAAAGAATTAGGAAAATGTTGGGAATAGGCTGGAGTTCGTTAGGGAGTATCCAGAAATGACAGGAAATAAGGTCACTTTTCAAAACAGATGCAACATGGGAGTTCGGAGTTGCATTCCTTGTTTTCTTGCTTGGAATCTGAAATTTTCCTCAAACACGAGGCTTCCAAGGGAGTCACTTTTATTTCACACGTTTCTGGGTGTCTGGCTCGATATTAGTGTATGAGAGGTAATAGAGACGAAGGCCATTAAAAGTTTTAGTCTGATGGAGAAAGATGTATATACATTTTCATTCTTTAATGAGGCAAATGAATGCTTAAATAGAAGTTTGATATGTTCTGGGAACCTCAGTAGCAGAGTGATTAATTTATGCGTGGAGCTATTTCATAGAAGAGATGACTTGTCTCTGGTTTGAGAGGATCATCCCTTTTAAATTAGGGGAGGACATTTGAGCCCGAGATGTTAATAATGTTGTATTAACATTTGTGTTGGAGTAGTCGGTAGTGGCAGGAAAAGGGTGCAAAGAGGGGAAAAGTAGATGAATCTAGAAAGGTTCGTTAGGACCAGAATGTGAATGGCATTGAACAGTTGTCACCCACAGGAATTGAAGTCCAGCTTTCTGCAGTTTATGGAACATGTTAATAAGTTGACAGTGACTTTAATGTTATTATTGTTAGGTATTTAAGATTTAAACACAGTTTTAACCCAGAGGTTTTTAGGCACGTATTTTTCCCTCTTTAGTCTATCTCAACCATCCTTTGCAAAACAATTAGAAAACTAAAGATGTTGCTATTTTTTGTTCATTGAAGAATGGTTAGTCATTTGTGGCATTTTGTGGCTTTGATTACTGGTTTAGTGGTATCTTTATCATAAGGTACTTTTGGACAGGAAAATCAAAGTTCTTTTCCGTTTTCATGCACTTTAGAAACCTGGTTGAAAATTTTGGGCAATAGGAGATTGAAATTCATTGGCCAAAATGGCTGTTTCATTTGGTATTATGCTTTATCAACATGAAATAACATGCCATAAAAAAGTTGGAACAGTCATTTTAATATCTGAGCACCGTACAAGACACTGTCCATTACTGTAGAGTATAAGTCAGAGGATGATAAATGTTTAGTAGAAATACAGAGTATTTATATAGTTTCTTGCTCCCTTTCTTATGCCATTTTCCTGGAGAATTCTAGTCCTTCATTGCCCATCTCTGTTTTCACTTTTTAAGTAATCTCTGATAAAGGAGCATAATTTGTTTTTATGCCACTATAACAATGTATATCTTTATTACATTACTTAGAATATTCTATTGTGTTAAGGTTTTCTCTTCCACTTTGGGATTGTTGTGTGCAGGAACTGTACCTTGTTATCTCCAGTACAGGGTACATGATAGGTGCAGAGTATTTTATCAACATTTATTAAGAGAGTGATTTATAGTGAAAATATTAAAAGAGTTTTACAGTAAGGGGGCACTTACACTGATCTTCGAACGCTTGGGTAGGTTTGGATTACCTGTTTGGCTGAGTAGGACTTATCATATATCGGAAATCACCTGAGCTGAGAGGAAGAAATGTTTGGTTAGCATCAAAATAGGAAAGGCTTTGAACCCTGAACTAGGTTTGACTTTGGCTTTCCAATGACTGTGGAGTAAAGTGCCTTCCTTTTCCCAGGTGACAAGTTACTTTTGTGTTTTACTTTTGATTACAGTGTGAAGGGTGACTTGGAGTAAGAGCAACCATTCTTACTTAGGCTTTTGAGGTAGTTGAGAAGAGGACTTGAATTTGAACCTCACTGGAGCAACTTTTTAAAATGTGTATTACTTGTTTAATTTTTGATTTAGAATTGTCCGTTATATTGTTTAAGTAAAAAAGATTATGTAATTTTTCCATTGTAGATAATGTTGCTGGTAAAGACATTTCTTTATTATATCTTGTAATTTTTAAGGTAATGGTTGCGTCAGTTTGTACTTGAGTCTTGTGAGGCAAATATTGTATTCGAAATAAAGTAGTTTATTGTTGTACCTTTCTGTATGGTTCTTCTCACAGGCTGTTACTTCCCATTATTGAGCTAAACTGAACTATTTTTTTCTTGATGTCATATTCCTTTCAAATATTTCTATTAGAATTAGCCCTTAATATTTTCTTTAACCAACCCAATTACTTTTTACCCTAATCAGTGTGGCATATGCTTTCCAGTATTGAAATATAAAAGAGTTAGACTTATTTAGATCAAATACAATCTTTTGGACCTTTCTGCATGTCAAATTGTGTCAAGTGTATACAATTAATCGTGTGCATAATCTTGCCATCCAGCAATTCTTCAGATATTGCTGACTTTGGCAAATGAGGGAACATACTCTTTTCTGTTTTGGAAAGGGAAAAATGAATTATTCCAAAATTCCATATATTGGCTTTTTTGCCACTATTCCTTGAATGGATTTTATTATTTATCTTTTTTTTGGCATCACAAACCTGTAAAAGTTTTCTTCCCTAATTCTTTGCTTGCAGAATGACTGAAAGTCATTTTTCTGCATCTTTTGATATTTTTATTTTCCCATGTTCAGACAGTTACTGCTTTGTAGACTTTTGTAGACTTCCAGTATGAATGTTGCTAGTAAAAGGAAAAAGTGTTTCTTAAAGATGTTGAAAAATACTTCTTTATGTAGAATTATTTGGGAAACCATTTAAATTAATTAGGAATTCATCATTTAGGAATTGATATCTGTAGCATTCAGTAAAATAATTTACCACTATAGTTAGTTCTATTGGGGTTTTATTGAAGGAAAAGGCTGAGAGTAGGGATATTTTTCTGGATGTCTTTAAGAAGTCTCATATTTGAGAAATCTTTTTACTACTTGCTTCTGCCCGGTGGAGAATAGGTGATACTTATGGACCACACTAAAAGGTGTTAGTGACTGAGTAACATTTGAAGGCTATGCCTCTGTAGTATGTAATGAACAGTGATTAGAACATTGCAAATAATCCAAATGAAAAATGAGAAATAACGTGTCAAGGAGGAAGTGATACAGTCTGCGCTTAGCAATATCTGAGGCATAGAAAAATAAAGACATAGAAGTGGGAAACATCTTTTGATGTAAAACTCAATTTTCACATCAAACATTTGATGTATTAGGAAATTGTAATTTTAACATTTATCACAATTCTAATTATAAAAGTAATATAATTTTTAAGTGAATGAAAAATGGAAATCTATTTTTGAACAATTTGAGATTTCAGATGGGCCAGTTCACAAATAAATGTATTCATTAATTCACACTGTTAATTATCGTTTCTCCTCTAGGGAAGAATTTGTTCTCTAATAGTTGAAAGTGTTCTCAGGATCAGAATTCCCCTCTAAAAAGAGGGGTGTTTCAGTTGAATAATGACATTTCTTTTTGTATATCATTGGAGCAAAATTAGTTTGAAAATGTGTGTTTATATCTTAACATTTAGAAGATTTTACATTACCATCAATTATAACAAGATCAGCAAAGCCAGAAAAGGAAAAAAAATGAAAGATTCAAAAGAGTTGGAACTTTTGAGGTTAAAGATATTATATAAAAAAGCTAAAAAAAATTGTTTATGTGTAGCAGAGGACTCCATTTCTCCAGAGAAGAGAAAACTTATTTTCTGTTGTGTTGGGGTCAGAAGGCTAGAACAAAGAAGAACCAAGGGCTAGAAAAAAGACTCAAGAATGAGAAGAAAGTGTGAAACTTAAGAAAACCATGTTTAAAATTTTTTTCTAACTTTTTATTGAGAACTGCAAATATATACAAAAATAGAATAGTGAGATGAACCCCCCTGTTCACCCACCCCTCATCCAGCTTCAACAGTTATAAACTTAGGGCTACTTCTTATGTTTAATCTGTACACTGGTCCCTTCCATTCTTCCCATTATTTTGAAGCACATCCCAGATATATCTTATCATACATTTTTCACTGTGCATCTCTAAAAAGCAAAGACTAAAAAAATTACATTATTGCACCTAAAATTAATAAAATATTCCGTGTTGAATTTTGCTAATTGCCATATAAACATTTTTTCTCCAGTTTATTTGAATCAAGTTCCAAATAAAGCCCATACATTGTGGTTTGTCTTAAATCTTTATGTTCCTACTCCATCTCTTTTCCCTTTTTTCTCTTTCCAATTCATTTGTTGCAGCACCTTTGTCCTGCGGAGTTTCCCACAGTCTGGAGAGAAAGAGGAAGAAGTCAATAAAAACACCCACAACTACTTCCTCTTACACAAGCCCATCACTGTTGCTGTAGTCAAGATGTCAGGAGTCCCAGAACAAGGGAAGCGCCAAGAAAATCATTGACTTTAGGAATGAGCACAGTTCTGAAGTCATACTTCATGCATGGTTAGGTTGGACTAGCCATAGCAAGAAAATGTAACAGAAGACTTGTAAATTTAGGTGCCTCTCCCATTATAATTTTAATGGCAATGAATATACTTACAGTTTTCTAACAAGCTAAACTACTTGGAATAGTTTTGTATGAATCCCAGTGATACATATACCTTAAAATAAGAATACCAATTTAAGAAATAACCTTATTCTTGATCATTTACCCTCAAAGTTTCTCCTTTTAGTGAGGCTCTTTGGTAAATATAAGTCTAATACTTATCTAGTACTCTAATTTCTTGTTTAAGACTTTTTTAAACCACTTCCAGACAATACCAAGTCTGGAGATTTGAAAGACTATCCATAACTTCAATTTTAGGATTCCAAAAGTGTCAAGATAGGGAATTTCTGCTTTCTTTTTAAGTGTTCAGCATCAGTAACTTAAGAGTCATACCAGTATGCCTCACTCCCATTTTACTGAAGATGGGGTCAGGTGGGGAATAGAACTCAGGCTTTCATCCAGAGAATCATAATTTACAAATCCACATTAATTTTTTCTCCCTCCTGACACCACTTTATTGAACACCATAGAACTGTGGAATTTTACTAATCTCACCTCAGTTTTTCATTTTACTTGTTCCCTTTCCTCCATTTTGTCTCTCAAAATTCTTCCTCTGTTGTACAGAATAATTCAGTTCTCTGCCCATCAAAAGGACTAAGTTTCTTATAGCATTAAACATATACTTACTACTAGGTTTTTACTCAGGTGATTCTAAACTTGATGTTTACACAAAAACCTGTACAGCAGTGTTTAGAGCAGCCTTATTTGTTATCTTCACGAAATTGAAACAACCCGGATGCCACTCAAATAGAGAATGGATAAACACACTATAGTACATATAATACTGCTGGGTAATAAAAAGGCACAGACTGTTGATACACAACATGAAAATTGGAATATTTATGGATTCAAATGGATTAGAGTGACATCTCTTAGCAGTCTTAAGTGTGACCAGTAGAAGGTCCTAGTCTCTAATCCAGTCATTAGCAGACAGTATCCGTTTTTATCTTTCATATCTGAATGTGAAAAGAGTCACATTTAGACAGGGAGTCTAAATTTGAAACAGTATTTGTTATGATTGAAGTAGGGAGAGATTAGCGTAAACGTTTCCTTCTCTGCCTCCTCTAGTCTTGTATTTAATATTTTGGGACTTTGGCTATTCTTTTTAGTATGTTCTCTCATTTCTTTCCCATGCCTGCCAACAAATCTTATGCATTAGTTATTCGTTGCCAGAAATTACTTATTTGCTCATTTTTAGTCAGTTCATATTTAAGAAAGTACAGAAATACCTGCATACCAAGAGCTATAATTTAGTGTTACATAGCTTTGAAAACATGGAGTTAGAGACAACTTTTTGCCTTTCCCAAAGATGTGTTTATAAAATTTGAAACTGGAATTTTACAAACCATTGCAGGCATGGGTGGGGGAGAATTGGAAAATTACTTTTAATGACTTCTACAAATCAAAAGTACCTTTTTAATGTGAAATAGTGTAACATACAGAAAAGTGTAGGAAAAAATAAAATGAACACAGTTTAACCCATTCCCAAGCTTTACCTATTCTTAATATTTGCCATATACAAACACTAATTCAATGTTTTGTGTATCTTTGTAATTAGAAAACTGTTGCTCATCAGTAAGTATAAAATCAGGTTAAATTTAGTAGATGAAAGTAGTTCTTGAATATGTGTATTCAAATAAAGGACTAGCTGCTGAAAACTTAGAATGGAAAATTTTTTAGAAGGAAAATAAACTGATGTATCAAGTGGTGGGAAGCAAGCTGCATGATGATAATGTATATAGTATGATGCAATTTTCATTAAACACAATACCCCTTTCTCGTTTTTACTTATACATATATGAGTTAGGAAAAAAGTATAAAATGATTTTCTAAATTGAAAATTTTGGTAAGGATGAGTTGGGCTGGAAATTGAAGTGGGTGAAGGGCCAAATACAAGTTTCCTGAGGTGTTAATGTGGAAGCCTGCTCTTAAGCTGAAGGTTCTGACTCAGTGGATTTGATGCCTAGGAGTCTGTTCTTGATGCAGGTGCTCCGAGTGATTTCAGTGTAGGTGCTCAGTAAACTATTCTGATGCCGTAGAAAAGAGATTGCATACTTTTTGGTTGTCCTGGTCACTTATTTGTGTTTCCTACCTGGATCCTGATGGCAATAACATTTGTAGTCCTTTAAAAGAACCTGTTTACTTAAAAGTGATACACGTATCTCCGTAGTTTAAAAAACCAAAAACAAAAACAAAACTTCGACAGTATTTCAGAAATGGAAATGTTCAGGAAGGAAAAAATTAAGAGTAAATCTCTACTCACCCTTGAGCCAGTCTTGCTAACCACCGAGTGGTTTCTTCTGTATTCTAGAAGAAAAATGTGTGTGTGGGAGGAGTGGAGGGTGAGGGATGTAGCAAACAGGGATTTAAAACTTAAAAAAAAAATTACTACAAACAGTAAAAGTAGAATAGTAAAATGAACCACCCAGCTCAAATGAGGATATTTGTGTTTGTGATTAATCATGGCAAAGGCCCCTGGCTGCTTGGGCTGCTGTAACAGTTTTGAGGGGAGAGGTGCAGGAAAAAGTAATAACTGTGGAGATGGTGGTTGTATGACACACTATAAGAATTTGGAGATCTGATTACAAACTGAGGCTGCTAGTTCAGTAAGTATTCCATTGAGTTTCTGAGACTTGTTCCCGTAGGAAAATGTGGCCCAGCTGTGTCTTAGACTGTATAGAGTTACTACATTTTCTGTTTTAAGCTGCACCCATCTTGAAGATTATCTCTCTTAGCTGGGAGTGGGGGTTGGGCATTTGCATTATTCCATTTGAATCTTTTCCTTTTGGAGTCCTTTTAAACTAGTTAATAAATGAGCTTTTTAAAATGCCTGGTATTAAAGGGTTTAATTCACTTGAAGGTAATGAGCTGGCAAGAATTGAAACATCTATTTGTTAGGCTACAGAAATCACTGGCCTAACTCCACACCGAAGTGTTATTCAGATAGTTAAAATGAAACATTAGTTTGTAATTTAAAGTTAGTTGGTGTCAGGAAAGACTAAAAAAGTTTGGACAATTAGTCTGTGTTTGCAGGAGACAAGACTCAACAACTAAATGTAGTACCTGGTTCTTGATTGGGTCATGGATCAAAGAAGAACATTTGGAAAGGCTGTTAGTAGGACAGTTGGGGAAGATTTGAAGCTAGACTATATATATTAGATGATAATGTTATTTAAGGTTTAATTTCTTGAACATGTTAATACTGTTGTGGTTATATAGAAGAATGTCCTAGATCTGGAAATATATGCTTAAATATTAGGGAGTTTAAATGGTTTAGAAAAAGTTATATGTACACATATATTTCCTTTATCTCATAGACAGTTGATGAATATAGGCGAAGAGTATGTAGGTGTTCACTGCGCTGTTTTAATTTTTTCTAGTCTTGAAAAATTCAAAATTGGGAAGTTTGGGAAGCAGTCGAGAAGAGTTGATACTCTATTCGCCAAATTTGCATCTTCTAAATGTCAAACCTCTGGCTAGAACGTGGTGCTTGGGTGATTTAATCCTTAAAACAAAACTTTATGTTGTAGGAAACCGATACACACGAGTTTAAATAATATATTAATTAGAGAAAGAGACTTTCTGTGAAGGCAGACATTTTGATTCCAGAGCTCAGACTCTTAATCATAAAACTATAATAACTGATGGTGGTTGCAGCCAGAATGCGTAGAACTCTGAATTCCGTGCTAAAGAATTTAGATTTTATCCTTTATTT